CGTGCCGTGCCATGTCTTTGGATTTCCATTGGATAAGCAGTGAATGCTGTGTGCCGTGCCGTGCCGTGCCGTGTCTTAGGAGTTTTTATTGTATAAGTTGCAAATGCTGTGTGCCGTGCAGTGCCGTGTCTGAGAATTTTCATTGGATAAGTAGCGAATGCTGTGTGCCGTGCAATGCTGTGTCTGAGCATTTTTCATTGGATAAGCAGTGAATGCGTTCTCTTCCGATCCCCGCGTACTTTTTAACCGCACACCGCACGCGTTTTCTATTTATCAACTAAGGCAATTGAAAATGTAAAGATATTAATTTTTAATGTCTTACTTTGTAGGTATATTTTATCAATTCTCACGTCTTACGTCAAARAGACAAACCCAGAACTGGATACTGTGCTTCATATAATACGACACCTCAAAGGTAAACCAATATCACTCAACCCAGTACCAGACGTCGGGGGTTTTGGCTCTTGCAAATCAAAATGTCTACAGTAACACAATTTTTCGCGGGTTGATTGCTATTTTTTATTATCAGTAAGAGGACAGTATAAGAATATAAATTTTATCCAGTGGATAAATTTATTGGATAACAGCATCGACTTATCCACTGGATAAGGATTTATCCGTTGGTTAGTGCTATCCATAGTCTCCCACACAGCCGCTTTCAGTGTCGTCACGCAACGCTTTCTCCTACTCAGGGGAGAAAGCATTGCGTGACAACACTGAAAGCGGCTGTTTGGGAGACTACGCTATCCACCCTTATAAGCTGACGTCAATGAGCGCAAGCTCAAACAAAAAGTTTTTCTCGTTCTTGTTGTTTTTGTTATACGCCTCGTGGATCCACACTACTTTGACAATGTAATGACGCAATTTATCGTCAAGAGGACAGACACAAAAAACTAATTTCAATTCGTTGAATACTTACTTAAGCCGTTGGAAATTAATTGACCAAAGCCAAAATCCAGGACTAAAAGTCGTTCAGTGAATTCACATGGCACCAACCTGTCTTGTCTTATCTACAGATAAACCCATAGAAGGCGATAAGTGTGTGACGTCAGAAGAGGCTCTAAAGTACGTCATCTTCCTCGTGGATGTCAATCAAATGTATGACGTTGCGTTAGGGATGTACGACTTCCAACTTGTTCTCATGGTAGCCGAGAAATCACAAAAGGTTAGAAGGATCTAATAATCATGACAGTCCAGGTTTCCCGCGAATAGTATGATGAAGTCTTTAATTGGGATACCTGTGTTTTTGGTTCAGGATCCTAAAGAATATCTCCCATTTTTGAATAAATTACGCACCATGGAGACGAACTATCAGCGGTACACGATAGACAAGTATTTAAAGCGATACAGTAAAGCTATACAACATCTCAGTAAATGTGGTAAGTTTTCGATAAAGTGATGATAGTGATGTGATGGTGATAATGATGATCAGATGATGGTGGTTATGACAATAATGATGATGATGGTGATGATGGACAGCTGGATCTGTGGGTTTATTGAACCCTAGTCCAGCAAAGACAGAAAGCACGTTTTTCATAACAACAAAGAAAATTTKATCATTTCCGCGTTGTTTATTGAGGTGTTAAAATATGCATCGAACTAAGCTTACGAATCACTCAAAAAATGCCCTGCCTTAAAAGGGACATGATGTGGAAAAAATATCGGTTTTTTTATCTTCTAGGTACTAAACACTTCAACGAACTCCACTCCTTAGTAGAAGAAAAATGTTTATTTAAAGAAGCTCTTGGGTTATTCCCGAAGTCGAGCGAGCAACACAAGGTATGTGACGTCATGGCCGCTGCGCGTCGTGGTTTCCTACGCTCCTCTCGTGTTCTCTCAACATCCCGCATGTTTTGATCAGAGTATCAAACACGGAAAACTGTTTTTGATCTGTCAAGTCAAATGAGATTTCGATCGAGATTCTTGAAATCAAAAATGAGAACTGAGCTACTTTTTGTTTTTCTCAGGCGATCGCTGTGTCTTACGGTGAACATCTGATTACCAAGAAACAATACGAACAAGCAGGCATAGGTAAGACAAAAGAGATTGATTAGACGAGAGATTCTTGTATTGTTCTTTGCCTTCTATTAACCATTCCGAGGTTAATGGGAAATCTGGGTCGAGTTGGCATCGCAGTGCATTGTGGGACTGTAAGGGGACAAAAAAGGACACCATCTTAGAAATATATCAAATTTGTCAATTTTCGCTTTTTTCTGCGCTAAGAACCCGCGAACAGCGCAAACATGGAAAGCTGTTAAAAAGGCCACATTCTTCGGTGTCCCATTGGTATCCGTCATTAAAGAGTTTAACTGTATGTTGTTCTTCCTTATTCAGTATTAGCACGTTGTGGTGCCCATGAGCAAGCCATGGACGCGTTTCAAAAGAAAGGCAACTGGCAGCAAGTGTTCTGCATGGCTGCGATACTCGGTCTTTCCCAGCAAAAAAAGATCGAAATTGCCAGGAGTCTGGCGGGTAAGCGTGCTCAACACATTAACCTATGTTTGGTTCAGTAATGTCTTTGCCTTATTTATTCATCCTTGCATCCATGCATGCATGCATCCATCCATCCCTCCCTCTCTCTCCCTCGCTCCCCCTCTCTCTCTCCCTCCCTCCCTCCCTCTCCCTCCCTCCCTCCCTCCCTCCATTCATTCATCCATTTACCGATGTTATAATCGTTCTTTCAGGATATTTGAAAGGCCATCATCGTCATGCTGAAGCCGCTAGAATATTAGAAGACTATGCTCTCGTAAGTTTAGCTAAGAGGTTTAGTTCATTTCATGCAAATACCTTCATCTCTTTCATATGCAAATTGCGCGTTACTAAAGAAAAACGATAGTGTGACGGCGGAAGAAAATGATAGGTTCTGAATTGATCAAATGTTTTGAATGGCATGAACACTTCTTGTCCTGAATATCACTCGTATTTATACAAATAAATAAATATCTACATAACAGATAAAAAGCCACGTTGTTACTTCATACTAATATCTAATAATCAATATTTTTTTAAGGATTCTGAAGAAGCTATTGTATCTTTAATAGAAGGAAGTCTTTGGGACGAAGCACTTCGACTGGTACGAATGAACACTTATTCCTATTTAAAACAGATTTCGTATGACCGTAGTAGAAACGGACAGTGTGTGGAGGTTCCGTGCTAGCATAGAAACGTATTTGGGCATTCTGATTGGCAAAAATGATTTGCGCTCTAATAGATCTATTAAAATTGGACGTCATGTTGTCCCATTTCAGACCACGTGTCATCCGTGAAAATAAGATTCTTTGTTTGAGCTGTATCCTTATTTGTGTGTCTTCTCATGTATAACCGTTAAACAAAGAAATGATACTTAAGAGAATGACACATGTTCTGAATTGGGAAAGCATTGTTGTAATGCCCATGCTAAAAGGGACCATTGGCTCAGACCTGGCCATGTCAACAAGCCGAAAACGACTCTATTGAGTGATTTCATTTTAGCATGACTGAAAGTCGCTGTATACAACACGGTCACATTACGACATAATTAAGTCATATATTCGACACCCCTAAAACGTCGCTGTCACAGCACAGCCGCATTTTTGCACGTTGAGTGCCGTTAAGGTTTAAGAAATACTCTATGATATAAGGCTGTTTTACGTGCCGCGTTTGCCATTTTCCCGCAGTCATTCCAAACTTGCGCGTTACGTTGTTTCACATCATGAAAACTTTAAATGATTTATTTCTTGCAGATTTACAAGTACAGCCGTTTGGATATTATCGAGACACATTTGAAAGTAGCTCTGAAAGAAGGTATTTCACTGATTTGAGTTAGTCTATTCTAGACTCTGTTTTACTCGTTTTCTCTGTTCTTACACTTGTTTTCGACCCTCGACAATTTTTATTAACATAATAAAATACACTTGAATTAACATAACAGTGCTTGGTTAACAGTGCTTGGTCAATTATCATCCAAGTACCACTGACTTGGCTTGCTTTCAATAGACCACTTTAGCTTGGGCTTTCTGTTTTCCCATTTCAGACCACGTGTCAACTGTCACGTGTCATTACGCCCAAGGTAAAGAGGTCTATTGCTGACTAGTTATCTTATTGTATTCATCTAACGATCATTTATCGATTCCAACAGGTTACAGCACACAGTGTGATTCAATCGAACAAAACATGGAGACGTTTACTAAATACAAGACTCGCTTACAAGTGGTTCGCGAAACAAAGGAACGCGAACGACTAGAAATCCTTGGTGAGAGGTTTTTTCTTTGGTACATGGGTGGTATGTGTTTGTTAACGATGGTGGTGCTGGTGATAATGATGGTCGCAGTAGTAATCAGTGATGTTGGTAGGGGATGACGATGGAGGTGTTGTGGGTGTTGATGGAGGTAGTGGTAGTGGGAATGATGATGATGGTGGTGATAATGGTGAAGTGGGAATGATGATGGTGGGATATAATTATGTGGGTGTTGATGGTGGTAGTGGTAATGGGAATGATGATGATGATGATGGTGGGAGATGATGATGTGGGTGTTGGTGGTGGTAGTGGTAATGGGAATGATGATGGTGTTAGTGGTAGTGGGAATGATGATGATGGTGATGAATGGTGGAGGAAGATGGTGAAAGTGTCAGTGTGGGTGTTGATGGTTATGGTGTTTATGGTGGGGGATAATGGTGGAGGATGGTGGGGAATGATGGTAGGAGATGTTGATATGGGTGTTGATGGTGGTAGTGGAGATGGTGGGAGATGATGGTGAGGATGGATGATGAGGGGGGTGTTGGTGGTTGTAGTGGTAGTGATTGTGGGGATGATGATGGTGAAGGATGATGTTGTGGGTGTTGATGTGGCTGATGGTGATTAATATGATGACGAGTCGATGGTGTCAACTACCAACCTTTCAAACTTTTCATATTCCTATATTTTCAAAGTGTTTCATGTTTGTTATGTATTCAGAAAGTGGTACATTACGAGATGATACAGATGCAGATATCTACTCGGACACCAGTAGTATGACAGGAGTATCGGGATACGGGTCCAGTGTAGGATCCAAAGGAACACGATCAACAGGGTAACAAATGCCGTAGAACTAGTTAATATGTATTTATTTTGCGGAAGAGCYGAAGAAAGCCGCTAGAATGAACACTGAGCGGGATCATAAAATATTTAAGCATGGTGTTCATTTTTATACTTTATAGTCCATTCTTTCGGCTTTGCCCCTCTCTCTTCCTAAGAAAATAAATATTCTCTGATCACGTATAAATTATTTATCTCGGTCACTACTAGTTGCGATGTTAATGCAATGTCCAATGTCACAGGAGATCTTCAAAGAACCGTCGAAAATTAGAGCGCAAGAAGTACAGTCTCAAAGAAGGCAGCAAGAACGAGGACCTGGCGCTCATGTACGAGCTTGCTGAAATCATTACTAAAACGGACAAATGTAAAGGTAAAGTTAACGTGATACTCATTTCATAACGTTTGTATGTTGGCTTTTTAGTTAACATTCCTATCATCTTGTCGTTTTCTTTCATTTGCTGCTAATTTCATAAACATGCGAACTCGGAAACTGCGAGCTCCACGCTGAAATTTATTTTTTTCGCAGGCTGCCGTCAATCAAAAATACTCAGTCGTACCTTTGATATTTTTGACTGGCGGCAGCGAAAAAACAAATTCCAACAGGCAAACTGCAAATACAGAGTTCAGTTCGCATTTTTATGAAAAAAAGCAGTAATTTTTCCCTTCTTTTTTCGTCGTTCCTTGATGATGTTCATTTCCTAAGTTGTCATAGTGACCAAGTAGTCATGGTGACCATTTTCCCTTTCAGAGGATATCAGTGCTTTACTCAGAGCCTTATCTCTGTTTGACTTCGACGACGAAGCTTCCATTTTACAGAAAGAATTTGCCAAGTTGGATTCACTTATTGAGAAATCTTTACCAGAAATTTGGCCGCCGAATGCACCACAGGAAGCCCAGCCGGCTTTGTCCATGGTAAGTGATTCCCCTGGCGAGAGACGCAGATGTCAATCAGGGCATGGCCTACCTCACAGATCGAACCCTGATTCCCAAAGCACGGCTTTGGTTTACTGCTTTCTGATTGGTGGACACGAGACTCAGAACAAGTTGATCTCATTAATGTAGTTGTGTTTCATTGTCTATAGGTAACAGGACCCGGAGCTACTGTGAACAGTATCATAGCAGCCATGAACACTGGAAATAACACAACACAACAGGCAAAGAAAGGTAACCTGAAGTATACTGTGCGATACAGTTGACATATCTCGTACGATCTATAATTTTTGTTGTGTCCAAGGATTTATATAACGATAAAAACAAAATGGGAATGGAAAATATGTTTTTAAAGAAAAAAGTTTGGAATTTGGACGCTGGAAAGTGGAATTTGTTAAACAATTTTGGCGGGAAATGGAATTGGCACCCCACCTTTCCCCCCGTCCAGGACACTTCAGCTTTTATCATTCGTAAATGTAACCGAAAGGATATTTTTTTGCAGATGATCCAGAAATTCCCAAAATGCCAGTCATCAGGAAAGATTTTCAATGGCAAATGGACCAATATCAGACATAAAATGGTTTGCAACACATTTTCGACTCTAAATTTTAAAAAAAAACCCTGAAATATGACTTAATAAAAATGTAAATTTCAAGAAATTTTGTTTCGAGCTGCTGTTTCTCCGATACCACATAAAAACGAAAGAACAATTTTTGAGACGATCCCATAGTGCATTGCTGTTCTCGACGCAACGCTCAAAATGTGTCAAACAGGCTTCTCTCAGCTTCACTCAGCCAAAAAAAATTAGCCAATTAGTGAACTCTGTTTGTAGCTCAATATATGCTAGTTTCAGGTTTTCAGCTCGATAAATAATAGCTTTTACTCGAAAATAAAGAAAATAAAACTCATCATTAGAAGATTCACCAAATATCTTTTAGAAATAGTGTATTTAGTCGTTGGTGGAAGTTTTTACTGTGAGAACAATGCAATACATCACCTGGTTCTGATCTACGCTATAAAATATTCAATGAATTATACATATTTTGGAAAGTCTTCATATCCTGTCGCGCTGCATTTAGTTGTGAGAAGAACTTACAATAATTTTTCATTTAGACGACTGTCTTGTCATGTCACAGCGCTGTGGTATTTCCCCTGTCACCTGCCACATTAACTAATTGCCAAAATTATTTTAGATGATTATGGGCTTCAAAGCTGAAATTTGGCATAAAACATGTAATAACTTTCAAAAGAAATTCAAACTTCTTTTGGGAAATTAAGATTTGTCAAGATTATTCTAGAGGCTTTGAACTATGCAATTGAAAATAATTAAAAGTTGAAATTCAATAAACCATATACCTTCCAACAATTATTACAAAATTCTAAGGACTGATGTTGAAAATTGCCACTCTTTTAGATAATTATATATTGGATTGAAAACAACTAAAAACTGAAATATAAAATATTTAAGTTCCAAGACGACGCTCAAAATTTCTGGCAAGGGAAATGATATTGAATAGAACAAATGAAAACTTAAATTCTATAAAATATTAAGTTTCCAAGTAGACATTCAAAATTTCTGGGACATCACGGTGTAAAATGAAAAAAATAATAAATAAGAATTCATTATTCTTAAGCAAAAYAGGAGTGTAATGAATTCGCTTTTTTAAATGACTAAAGGTATAGACTTGCATTTTTGATACCACCTTGCTGGTATACATCAACTCAAAAAAAGTTTTTCGGAAATGCGAAGTCTCTGAAAATATTTATTTTACTAATATATATTTG